TCAACTTCATTTCACAGCATTTAAAGAGGAGCTGTTATGAGTGAGTATGTGTGAGATGGGAGGTGTGTGGATACACTGATGCATGTTGCCCATCTGCCGTTCGCAGTGGTCATTTTTTTTCCTCCCCTCCAACCCTCGGTAATTATGATCAACCGAGTATTCACAGTGTGCTCTCGCAATCAGCTGCATGATGCAGCTGTCTGTTCATTCCGGTCCAACCGCACAAAATGTGCCTCTGCTTTAAATGATAGCTCAGGTGTCTGCCGGAGGCAACAATAGAGGTAAATGAAGGCAGCACAATAACGCTCTCATGGAGCCGCCTCGATAACCAGCGTCGAGAGGAAAACACAGGCGAAGAAAGTACGGCGGAAAATCAGCAGGAAATTAAGGAGGAGCATAGCGGAAAATGAAAATCAATGAACAATTTTAGGTGCTGGGGTTTGTTTTTTGCACAGAGAAAACAAACAAGTGCTTGTATTTCAGATCAAGCATGTGATGCAAAGCTGCATACGGTGCGTGTTTAGTTCACCCAGGCTGCTCCCCGGATGAGGGAGGAGAAAATAAGAAACAAGATTGGGGAGAAAGGGTCACGGCCGGCGCCGAGATTGGAGTCGCAAAGTGAATGTTGACCGTGTTCAGCAGATTCCCTCTCCCAGCTCTGCCTCGCTCTTTTATTTTTAACATTACTGTCCTCAGTGACATGTCTCAATACATGCATCTTTCAGTTAGTTATTTCTTTTACAGTTTTTCCCTTTTATGGCGGAAACATTGACCATGAACCTTCAAGTAACTGAAATATTGTGTTGACGTTTTGCTCATGGCAATCAGGAGGTTAGATCTATGAAGAACTTTGTGCTCACTTTGTGTGGAAAGTGAGACAGGGTCCGTGTTTCAAAAGGGGTCGGATGACAACAATTCTTACTATTTTCATATGTCATCCGCGTAATCATGAAGGAGCAAGTATGAAGCACACACAGGGGGTGGATGGGACCAAACATCTTTCAGTCAGGAGACTGAAATTCTGTGTGAAACAAGAAGTCAATGTTGATTAGTCACGTTATTTGCGTGATGTAGTTACGACACTATCGTGGTTATTTTAACCCAAGCGACAATCTTTTCCTAAATCCAACTAAATGTGTTTGTTGCATAAACCTAACCGAGTTATTTCCTGTGAAGACAGAAGTTTATTTTGAAAAGACCATACGAGAGAAAGAATTTACACATCAACTTTCCGTAAGATCTCATACAAACCATTGTCTGAGGATACGTTGCTTTGTGAAGGAGTCGGCATACAACGGGTTAATGGGACTTGGACGATGCTGCAGTTGTGTGAGAGTTTGTGAACTGGTGATTTGATATAGTTTTGCTGCTGTTAAACATTTAATTCAACCAGACTAGTTAGAGGAAAACAAAGACTTCTTGAAGAATTGAGGTTCACACGGTGTGATTAATTGTATAAATGGTCATTTTGTGGATAAATGTTCATTTAAAGCAGGCGAGAGCATGGATTGTGTTATTGACACACATCAACATACAAACAGCCAGCAACTCTTTTATGCAGATGACAGATTTGACTTTTAATTAGATTATTCCACTGTCAAGACTCCTCGTAGTTTTTTATTAAAATTATCACCAAATTGTGGTTTAACACAATTCCATGTGATTAACTTTGTTTTTTTTACAGTCAGACTGTTTAACTGAAAAATAAGACAAAGAATCACAACAAGATCCTAGAAGGACGAGAGCTGTTCTATCTAACAACAGATGTGATGAAGTGATGTCTTACTGCACGCAGACACAACTGTCTCCGTGACAAACCTAAATGAAATCAAACAGACAGAGAAAAGCTCCACTCATCTAGTTAGTACTTCCTGTTGGTCTGTTTCCATATAGCCTCCTCTGTCTGGACTCCCACTCTCCTGTCAGGGATCCAAGTACATCCAACGTGCTATTAAAACGAGCACATGTACATGTACGAGAGTCAGCTGAAGAAATTACTGTCACCACGGTTCTCTGTGAAGCCGCAGTGTTGCCTTATCAGATGAGCGTGTCATTCTGCTGCCAGTAATTCCCGCTGAGTGCTGGGCTTTGAGCCGAGCTCCTCTATTAAGCCTGATAATTGTGGGCGAGTAGACGTCACATTTGTTTTGTTTTTCTCTTTCTGACCCATTAAAGAAAGAAGCATAAAGACTGGGACCAATTAAAATAATGGAACTGGGCTTGAAAAAAAAACGAGGCTTTGCAGCTAATTTCGGTGATGTGGAATCTTCAGTATTTGCCAGATGAGAGGTGAAATCTTTGTATTGTAAGATGATAAAGCCATGAGGTTTTATGACCTTTTATATCATTTATTCCGCGTACTAATACATCACAATCAGTTTCATTGTACGTGTACCAAGACAAGGAATGTGACTCTGGGTTTAGGTTGATCTCAATGTTGGTAACGTATAAAACTTGAGGAGGAAAAAGATAAGCGACAGAACTCCCCTTACTCACTGCAATCATTATTACATTCTGAATATCTACAAAGAATAAAAGAGATGGGGACATATTGGGTTTGGGTTAGATTTAAAGCTGTGCCATTCCACATCATTTTGGACCAAGCAACAGACGAGGGATCCCTCTCCAAACTGCTAGATTTTAAAAACGATCCAACCAAAAAAAAAACCAGTGTTGCCAACTCTCACTAAATCTAGTTAGAAAGTCGCCAAGTCGGCAACACTCCCAGCCCGTCCCTTCAGGCTACCCTCCATAGACATTCGCCCAAAATGATCATTATGAATGTAAACATGGCTGTTGTTAGCCCTCGCATCTGTTAAGCTACGAGCTTGTGGAAGACTCCGTAATCAACGGCTGGACTTCTCTCAGTCCTGCAACAACCACAGATAACAGATTTATTTTTTCTTTCTGTCAGAGCATTTGATTCATTGCTTGCCGTCAGGATGTAATGAGAAATTTTAACCATAATATTAAAAAAAAGTTGTTGAAGAACATTACAGACCCTGCCTTTAAATAATTATTTTTAATTTAACATATCACAGCCTTGATTGAAACATGTATTCTTCTTTTCCCTGTAAAATAATCCAGAAAACTTTAAAATGATAGTCCGTTATTTGTATTTGTTGACAAATAAAATAAAAGTTATGACGATGCGATCACCAATTAATTCAAACCAATAGGACGTGCACATTGCTATCTTCACTCTGAACTCACCAGGATACACCCCCACATTCACACTCCCCCGCCCCTATATGTTGTGCATAGTCTGTTTCTGTGTCATCGAGTATGTTCTCTCTCTGTTGATAAAATAAAGACAGGGAGGAAACTGGAAGTGTGGGGTTTGACAGAAGTGCCCATTTAGGAGGCATAAATGATGACAGCAGGGCTGAAACAAATAGATGAATACTTGATGATTACGAAACGACAGAAAGACTATCGTCTGTCCACGGTGGACCGGTCTCTGCTGGAGGATCTGGGTCTGTCCACGGTGGAC